TTTTTTGTAGAGACGGGGTTTCACCACGTTGGCCAGAATGGTCTCGATTTCTTGACTTTGTGATCTGCCCATCTTGGCCTCCCAAAGTGCTGAGATTACAGGCGTGAGCCACCACCACCAGCCTGTTGTTATTTGAGAGAGTATTTCTCCTTATATAAAAAAAGTTAAAACAGCCTCAGGCAGGTCCAGGTCCTTCAGGAAGTAGTCCCGAAGAGGGAGATCTTTTAGGAGATGACAGCTCCATGTGTCATTGGAGACAGGATATGTAGGTGCAGGACAGCGACATTGATGATCCTGACCCACGCCGCTGTGCAGGCCTATGCTAATGTAGTGTGTGTGTTTGTGTCCACAGTACCGTGTATAGTAATATCAGTGATGTCCTGTTCAGTGAGTGTTCTGTGCAGTGTACTCACTTGCCCCACTCACTCACTCACCCACCCACCCAGCCACCCACCCAGAGCAGCTTCCAGTCCTGCAAGCTCTATTAATGGTAATAGCGGTGTATCAATTTTAAAATCTTTTGTACCATACTTTTGCTGTAGTTTTTCTATGTCTAGCTGGGTGTAGATACACACATGCTTGCTGCAGTATTCTGGTTGCCTGTAGTGTTCAGGACAGTTGTGTAGCCCAGGGGCAATAGGCTATACCGTAGAGCCTGGGTGTGTAGGAGACCACACCATCTCGGTTTGTGTAAGTGCACTCTGATGGTTGCACAAAGATGAAATTGCCTTCGCATTTCTCAGAGCTCTTTCTTCATTAAGTGACACGTGAAGGTACTGGCTTGAGGAGAGGGAAGGTAGGTAGGAAATGGAGATCAGTGTAGACAACTGTTTCTAGGTCTTTGACTGTGAAGAGGAGACAAGCATTAGAATTAGGCCAGCATCTGAAAGGCATCTTTCCCTGTTATACCCTCATACTCTGTTTCATATGGAATGCCATTGGGAGGAAACCCCTTTGGGTCCTTTTCTCAGCATAAGAATCACCTGGAGTCCAGGCCCCATGCTCAGAGATTGTGGATTTTAGGCCTAGGGTGGGCATCCAGGTAAACCCAATGTGGTTGTTCCCTAGGCCAACTTAGAAAAGTGCTGTCCTGGGGGCTTTGTGGCATAGGACTTGGGTGCCTGTTCCTTCCCCTTCCTTGCACATGTGCAGGGGGCACCCACTACCGGTAGAAGGGAAGACCAGCAGCGTTGAGAGACCAGCAGCGTTGAAAGCGAGGCTCCCTGGCCCTCTGCCTCTCGTTTCCTGTCCAGGTCTCTGTGGCTTGCCTCTCTCAGGCCACTTCTAACTGTGGTCTCCGCTCTACCTCCTGGTCCTGTAGGTCTTCTGGATTCTTAATCGGCCTCATCCTCTAGCCTTTCCGTTTCCTGGAGAGAAAGCCTGGCCTTTTACAGACATCACTAGCCAATGGCAGTGCCTCTCTATTTCTTGCCAGTGCCCTGCCAGTCGCAGGATCGTTAACATCTGTCTTTAAACTGTTTCCAGCTGCTGGCCTTGTTCTCTCAGCTGTTCTTTAACACTGAAGCCTTGTTTTGCCTGCTTCTGGGTTTGGAGCTCTTCTGGAGGTATGAGGGTTTCAGATGGTTGATTTTTGCCTTGTCAAGGTTTATAGAAGGAAAAGGACAGTGACATTTAAAGTAGTGTGGCTTTGAATATTAGGAATCATTTTTTGTTACCTAATAACTTCATCTTAGTGGTGATTGTCTGAATTGTATGATATGTTGACAGATTTCTCAAAGCAGTCTCTAGCGATCATTAAACAGCCTGAGTTGTATCCTGAAGAAACATGTATCTGTCCATATATGGAACAAATAGTTGTTCCATTCCCTTTGTGTGGAAACTGCCTGCATGCTTCATTCATCACAGTAATGCATTTCCCCAGGAACTTTTGATGTTCCAGGTGTCTGTTGTCATAGCTTTGGAATCATTGATAACATTATTTGACTTGCTTAGAATTATAGTCTCATGGATTTATTACACATTAAACCTTTTAGGCAGGCCTTGGAAGATGAATTTGGTAGGCATTTCACACTTTTCTGACACTGAGATTTTGCTGGTCTCTTGGATACAGTCACAAGTAATACGTAAGCAAAACTGCACGCTCAGGCGTAACAACCTGCTGGGCTGAGCGCAAATGCAGAAGTGGATGACTTTTCACGTTACTCTTAACTCTTTTCTCTCGGGTGCTCAGAGCACAACTTAAAGCATTCTGTCTGAGCTAGGGGAATAACATTCTGGAATGTAAGCCCTTGAAGATGGAGGTCTATAAAAGAAATATTCAGTGTTAACTTGGAATTCAGTGAACTTTTTTCATATTAAAGGAAATTTATCAAGAAAAAGAACTGCACAGTTAAACTGTGCTACAGTTGTTTTCATTTAAGAAAGTAGAAAGAAGCCGGGCGCGGTGGCTCAAGCCTGTAATCCCAGCACTTTGGGAGGCTGAGATGGGCGGATCACGAGGTCAGGAGATCGAGACCATCCTGGCTAACATGGTGAAACCCCGTCTCTACTAAAAAATACAAAAAACTAGCCGGGCGAGGTGGCGGGCGCCTGTAGTCCCAGCTACTCGGGAGGCTGAGGCAGGAGAGTGGCGTGAACCTGGGAGGCGGAGCTTGCAGTGAGCTGAGATCCGGCCACTGCACTCCAGCCCGGGCGACAGAGCGAGACTCCGTCTCAAAAAAAAAAAAAAGAAAAAAGAAAGTAGAAAGAAGACTCTTAACAGTTTAAAAAACAAATGACCCTCATTTTTTTTATATTGTGCATGTAACTCTTCAGATTATATGAAACTATTAGTATTTTTTTTTATATTCCTCGCATCTTTTTTTCTTCTGCCTTGAGAAAGTCAGGTTCTTCTCATCTTATTGTGTACTTTACATCCAAAATTATTTTGTAACTCTTTTTTTTTTTTTTTTTTTTTTTTGAGACAGAGTCTTGCTCTTTCGCCAGGCTGGAGTACAGTGGCGCGATCTCAGCTCACTGCAACCTCCGCCTCCGGGGTCCAAGCGATTCTCCTGCCTCAGCCTCCTGAGAAGCTGGGATTACAGGAGTGTGCCACCACGCCCAGCTAATTTTTGCATTTTTAATAGAGACGGAGTTTCACTATGTTGGCTAGGATGGACCTCGTGATCCACCCGCCTTGGCCTCCCAAAGTGCTGGGATTACAGACGTGAGCCACTGCGCCTGGCCCTCTATAACTCTAAATGTTGCTGCATTTTATTATTGTAATGACTAATGGTCCGTAAACTCGATGCAGTTAGATTTTCCTGTTATTGGATATAGGATATTTACATTTTTGCTCTTGTGAATATACTGGAGTACTATACTGAATGTGTGTGTGTATGTGTGTATCACCTTTTATGTATTTAATTATTTCCTTAGGGTAAATTCCGAGTAACTGGATTATTAGAGGGTAGAAATTTTCTTTATGGTTTTTGGTATAAATTGTCAAATTATTTCCCAAAAAGTTGTATCAGTTCACAGAGCTACCAGTTGGTTTCTCGCAGCCATCTGCTATAGGTTTGTTGGGTTAAAAAACTTTCCGTTTTTGCTAGTTCATCTTATGTTGCTTTAATTTACATTTTTCAATAATGATTAAACCTAAACTTTTTTTGTATAAATTTGCTTTTTTGAGTATTTCTTCTTGTGAAGGGACCGATATTTATATATAATTATTAGATTGGCTGCTAGTCCAAGAGCATTAAGTAGTTAAGGGATCAAGTGAGCAACCAGTGGCCATAGCCGTCTTTGACCAATCAAAGATATAGATTCATATCGTCGTGAAAGCTTTGATTCCGAGAAAATAGTTTTATATGTGTGTATATATATGTATACACACACACACACACACACACACACACCCCTAATGGTAGGAGATTGGGGTAGTTGTATTTAATATATAGAATATTACCTAATTTTTTTGTTAGAGGTTCTAGAAGACGAGACTTTTTCAGTTTGTCTTATGCCGTCCTTGTTTCAATGGGGGAGAGGTGGGGGTTTTGGACACTCTAGGAAGTTAAAACTGAATATTTTACTAATTGCATGCATAGAAGTTGATTTTCTCTTCTTTTCTTTTCTTTTCTGTCTTTCTTTTTCTTTCTCTTTCTCTTTTTCTTTTCTTTTTTTTTTTTTTTGAGATGGAGTCCTGCTCTCACCCAGGCTGGAGTGCAGTGGCACGATTTTGGCTCACTGAAACCGTTGCCTCCCAGGTTCAAGTGATTCTCCTGTCTCAGCCTCCCGAGTAGCTGGGACTGCAGGCACCCACCACCAGGCCTGGCTAGTTTTTAGTAGAGCGGGGGTTTCTCCATGTTGGCCGGGTTGGTCTCAAACTCCTGACCTCAGGTGATCTGCCTGCCTCAGCCTCCCAAAGTGCTGGGATTCCAGGTGTGAGCCACCGCTCCTGGCAGAAGTTGATTTTCTTAAAAAAGAGAGATAATAGGAAAACAAGCTCAAAAATCTATTTGGAGCCTTATACAGGATGTTGGCCTTAGCTTGAGGAGAAATAAAAACTGGTGAAGCGCATTGTTAGCAGGGGGATGACTTGATCAGGTTTTTGAAAATGAATGTTCAGCATTGAGGTAACTGAGACATCTGGATATGCCGGTCTGGGCCCCTGGGAGTTGCAGGAGATAATGGAGATAGAGATTCCGTGAACTGAGTACTGTTGGTAGCTTTTATGGTGTTGAGGAATACCTAACACTGATTTTTTTTCTTTTTTGAGCCCTGTTAATTAAATGTTAAAATATATTTAGTTTGCTTTAGAGAAAGGCACGAATGGATTCTGGGGCTCTGGTATGGAAGCTATTTCGCAGTGTAGGTGCAAGGTGAGGGAACCAGCTAGGGAGGAAGATGGGTGAGGGTCTGTGGAGAGGGGCTGGAGTGAAATGGTTTGAGAGACAACATGTTTATAAAAGCAATAGAAGGTACAGTGGGGGAATACTTTCTATTTAATGCATTTTTCATTTTACTTCTTTCTAATTAATACAAGGCACATTTTACATTTCAGATGAATTTACAACTGATTTTCTGGATTGGACTGATCAGTTCAGTTTGCTGTGTGTTTGGTCAAACAGGTAAAAAAAAAAGTTTTCTTAGTTGTCCTTTCATTTCTGTATCTTGTATTGCTCTTTGACCAGTTAGGTTCATGTGAGAACCTAAGTCGTAATCATGCTGCTCCTTCTGGAAGCCCTGCAGTTATCCCTCTCACTCAGAGAAAGGTCAAGATCCTTCATGGTCAGGCTCCCCTCACCCCTGTCACCCGGGATGATGGGAAACAGGTTGGCTGGTGAAGTACTAAAATGCTAGGGGTTGAACACACTGCAGGAAAATCTTCTGAGAACACGAGAGTGTGTAAGTGAACAGAAGGCAAAGGCAAGTAGTATATTTAGAAGCAAATGAAGTAGATGTATAGAATGGAGGATTATGAACTATCCATTATTATCTACAAAGACTTTCTAGAAGACATTCTCACTCTTTGATAAAAAAGTCTTGCAAAATGTTGGCATCATCTAGGAGAGCAGTGAAAATAAAGCTGAAAATGTATTTAACACTTCTATAAAGATGTGGCTCCACATCTGGAATAATGGATATCCAGTTCTGTCGTCTAAATCTTGAAAAACTACACTGCATAGAGCAGTTTGAGATCAGGATTAGAAGGTAGTAAAAATGAAGCAGGAGACCGTAAAAGTATCGATACATTTAAATTACATAAAATCAACAATAGCAAAAAAATTCTGTCAGAACACTGTAAACAAGATGAGAAACTAAACACAGGTTCAACTTCATTAATGTGTGTAGAAATCCAGTAAAAACTGAGGAACATAAAAAAATTTGCAAAAGACATATAAAAGACATAGTAAAAATATGAAACAATGTAAAACCTGAAATTGGTAGGCTTGACCACTGAATTGATATTCTATTTTACACTTATTAAACGAGCAACAGTTTTTGAATATTAAAGCACTTTGTTTTCTTGGGAATGTGATAAAATGGTATTTGTACACTGCCATTTTGTGGGAGCTTATATTAGTAGTGTTGCCCTATGGTATCCATGGGGAATTGGTTCCAGGACCTCCTTCAGATACCAAAATCCACAAATGCTCATTGACCCTGATATAAAATGGCATGATATTTGCATATACCCTACACATATCCTCCTGTATACTTTAAATCTTCTCTAGATTACCTATAATACCTAATACAATGTAAATACTATGTAAATAGCTTTTGTACTGTATTGTTTAGGGAATAATGACATGAAGAAAAGTCTGTACATGTTCAGTACAGACACTTTTTTCCCCCAAACATTTTTGATCTGTGGTTGCTTGAATCCACTGATTTGGAAACCACAGATACAGAGGGTCAACTGCATATTACTTTTGGGTAGAAATTAGTGTGTATAGAGAATTTTAGAAGTGTTAATATACTCTTCAACTTAGTAGTTAGTTATTCTTTTGGGATGTTTGAAAAGGAAATAGATGGGTACTAAGGTTTATATATAAGACTGGTCATCAGCATGTGTATATGCGTGTAGTACAGTATGTGTATATGTGTACTTGGGGTATTTATGTGTGCATGTGAGCAAGCATGTGTGAACTGTGCACACTTACATTTGGAAACAATCTAAATTTATCCAGCATTAAATAGAGTATACTCATATTGAAATATTACATAATCATTAAAAGCTTTTTAATTCTTTTTAAAAAGAATTTGTAGTAAGAATAAAGCACTTAGGATAAGATATAAAAAACAGTATACAAAACTGTACAACTGTATATATAAAGTGTATCCTCAGTTTCATGTAAATAATACATCTATTAATATATATATATGCTTGCTTCCCCTTGCTATTTATCTGCATAGGAAAAAGACTGGAAAGAAATAGGCAAAAATGTTAGCAACAGTCCTCTCTTAGTTAACAGATTCAGTGAGTTTTAGTTTTTTCTTTATGCTCTTATGTGTTTTCCAGATTTTCTGTAAGAAGCATGTGCTGGGTTTATAATCAGAAAAGATACATTGGAGACAGTCTGTATTAGTGCTTACCATGTAGAAGGCATACTCTTCCTTAGGTGGATGCAAAGAAACCTAAAACATACTTTGAACATAGGGCCTGAGAAATTCTGGGATTATGGATTAGATGAATATGGACTTTTCAGTTATTTAACATACTGAAAGCAAAGGGAAAGCCCTGAAGATTCTTGTGGGTATGGTAGTATGAGTTAAATAAAGAAATAATGCTTTACCCAGTTGTAAGAAAACTCATGAGATTTATGACAATCAAGAATGATAAATTCTGAATTATGCCTTTGAAAAAAAGAATGTTGTCTTTGATATAGAAGACAAGGAAGATAACTAATGTCTCTCTGTGGCTTTCAGTGTCAAGGTGATCAAAAATCATGGTCTTAAATTTCGCATTGTTCTCACTGGTTTGTGGGAGCTAAAAATTAAAACAATTGAACTCATGAAGATAGTAGAAGGATGGTTACCAGAGGCTGGGAAGGGTAGTGAGAGGATGGGGAAGTCTAGAGTGTTACTGGTTACAAAAAAATAGAAAGAATGAGTGACCTAGTATTTGGTAGCACAACAGGGTGACTGTAGTCAATAATAATATAGTTGTATATTTTAAAGTAACTAAAAGAGTATAATTGGATTCTTTGTAACACAAAGGATAAAGCCTTGAGAGGATGAACACCCCGTTTACCACTATATGACTGTTATGCATTGTATGCCTGTATCAAAATATCTCATGTACCCCATACATGTGTACACCTACTATTTACCCACAAAAGTTAAAAATTAAATTTAAAAAATCCTGCTGTCTTTGGGGAAGGTCTAGTTTAGATGGTAACTACGTGATAGTATTTATATTTAACATATATATTGCATTGTCATTGTGATTTTGATTTTTCATTATTTTCTCTCTGACACTTTACATAAAATGTTCTTTCTTCTTTCTGACAGATGAAAATAGATGTTTAAAAGCAAATGCCAAATCATGTGGAGAATGTATACAAGCAGGGCCAAATTGTGGGTGGTGCACAAATTCAGTAAGTAAGGTTGCTCAAGTCCTTTCCATTTCTTCTCTGGTCATTTAGTGTGACTCAGTGCTATATCCTTGGGAAGCACATATTAATTTTTGTGTAAATCAATACTTATTGAATAACCTAATGGTCTGGAGCTATGTGGTTCAACACAGCAGCCACTAGGCATATGTGGCTATCGAGCACTTTCATACAGATTAGAATTGCTCTGAGTTTCAAAGATATACACGATTTCAAAGACTTAGTATTAAATAAATAATAATGGTGAAATGATAATTTTTGTATATTTAAAAATAATGTTATACCTGTTAAAATTAATGTTCTCTTTTTCTTTTTTTAGTGTGGCTACTAAACAGTTTTAAAATACATATATTCGTAGCTCATCTTTGTGGCAAGTATTGTATTTTTACTGGAGAACCTTCAAAAAAATCCTAGTCATTTAGTTTGACTGTTTTAGATTTCCCCCTTTTTGATGGGGAGGTATGAATTAACCTTCCTAATTATATTTGAGTTAAAACTACTAGAATTGATTTGCATCCCAATATAAGCTCATTGAGGTCAATTAGGGTTTGGATTTTATTCACTTTTGTCATCTCTGTGCTTTTGCTAATACGGTACCTTCCACAAAGCCTACTAAACGTTCAATGAGTCAATGAATGAATGAATGAATCAAAAGAGATGGTAAGGAGAAGTCATTTTGAGGTTGTATAATTTATTCACAGACTGAATAACTAATATCAGAAGGTCAAGGGGTTATTGATTGTGTTTTCATGCAGGCATTTGGGTCCAAATTTCAAGTACCTGTATTTGTACGCCTAAGTGGTCAAGTGTCAGATATGTCGTATGATTTGACCACATGAAAGAAAAAATGAGAAGTTTTGGGGTTTTTTTTTTCAAAAATTTTCTAATGGTACTTTCAAAAAGTGGTGTGTTGGGATTACATTGGCAACAGTGGAGGAAATAAGGAGTGTTGTGAGTTTGTCTCAGGGAAGGCTTATGTAACTGAAGCTCTCGGTTTTCATACCTGAAAATGAGGCTGATAATATCCGCTTTATCTATTGTTACACTAATTAGAATTGATGAACTTAAAGCAGTTTCACTTAAAAAGTTCTAAATAAGTGGTAGCTGCTATTATTGTTAACATACCCGTTTTATGGGGACTATAGTTTATCTGTAGTTGAGGATTATCTTGGCTTTTGAACTTTGGAGCATAATTCTTAAAATTTTAAAGGCTTTCTGAATATATTCAGTGAAATTTTATTTGGGTGTCATGATTGTAAAGTTTCCTGGATTGATTAGTATTTAGAAATGTGTAATTCACTAGGATCTTGTGCTTTGGTAGGTAGTAGTTTAGGTTTAATAAATGAAAGTAGTGCAGCTTTGAATTATCTGATTTTGGTATTCCCCTCCAGTTGTTGATTACATAAATACTCTAATTAGTGTGATGTTTCTCTTAAATATCCCTGTAAAAACCATTGTGTTCTTTAAATTTAAATATCTTCACTTACTATTACTTTATACAGCACCATTAAATTGATACTTAATAAATAAATACCATATATAATGTCACTGATCCCCCTCCCCATTTTCACATTTCATGAAACACTTCTATTCACAGTCTTTATATAGATCTTTAACAGCAGTGTTTTTGAATTCACTAAGGTACTTTTCAGTTATCTGATTAAATTTTTATTTGTATCTAAGTTGTTTAAGGTATAGCACATTTAAAATCTTTGTCATTACTAGAAATTTTACTGCTGCAAATATCCATTCTCCTGCCATTAGGACCTTTTTTTCCTTTTTTGAAATTTACCTGGCATTAGGACCTTTACCGTTGTCATATACTTACTATTTTGCTTTTTAAAAAATTTTAAAAAACGTATTTACAGTAATAGCTAATACTTGAAGTTTTTTCAAACTTGTGGGAATACTTATTTAATCTGTGCTAAATTTCGTGTTCTCCTTTTAAAAAATGCCATAATTAATTGAGATGCTTTTAAGCTCATCTGTTTTCCCTAAACATTGGGTCGTTCAGCATATTGTGGTGGGGAGAGCGCCACATGAGAGGCTTTGTAAGGACTTTTCAAAGGGAAATTTTGGAGAAATGATCTGATATTTGAGTGTATGTGTATACATTATTAGTAGCCATTAACCATGCTCAATTAGTGATTTCACTAAAGAAATTGTTTTTGATTAGATACTCTGAATTACAAGATAGAGCATTTACTATGTACACTTGGGTCAGTTCTGGGAAAGGTATTACTTTCTTGGAAATGATTGTTTTTTAACAAGAACCCTTACCACAGTTTGGATGAAGGGAGCGTTTTGTTAAAAAGCCAGAATTGAGGTACAGTAGATGTGATTTGATGTTTTGCAACTTAATTGCTTATTTGCAATCATTGTGTAAAAAGGTTTGACCATTACACTTTTCATTTATACCTGTATTTTATGTCATTTAGACATTTTTACAGGAAGGAATGCCCACTTCTGCACGATGTGATGATTTAGAAGCCTTAAAAAAGAAGGGTTGCCCTCCAGATGACATAGAAAATCCCAGAGGCTCCAAAGATATAAAGAAAAATAAAAATGTAACCAACCGTAGCAAAGGAACAGCAGAGAAGCTCAAGCCAGAGGATATTACTCAGATCCAACCACAGCAGTTGGTTTTGCGATTAAGATCAGGTATGGAATATGGAAGCCCAACTCTGTGAATACCTGTGTGTTTACTTGAAGCATTTGATACCAGCTTTATGCAAACTCTGACCATTTTCTGTTGAAGGCTCATTTTTACATGTGGACTGGCACTCAAAAATGTGGAATTGGTTAAATTTTAGAAAAGTTTTGCATATACAACAATTGTAAAACATATATACTTGGAATAATATTAAATGTTGCCTTATGTTCAAAGTAAATTTTGTTAAAGATTCAGAAAATATTAATTAGCTTTAGTGAGTTTTAAAAATCAAAGTGTTCATCCTCTGGTCTAATTATGTAATATATTATAAAAGCAACAATTTAACCTGTTCTTTTCCTTTGCATTTGTTTAGTATTATTAAACTGTGAAGGTTTTTGTAATTATGTCTGTCAGTCCCACATCTAAACATGAAGGAAAAGACAAGCCCTCTTTCTCCCTTTTCTGGTTTCCAACCTTCTTGTCAGGAGAATGGTAGAGTGGCCCTGTCCCCTGACTTCCCTCCCGGAGCCCTTCCTCCCCTCCCGGTGCCCTTCCTCCCCTCCCGGTGCCCTTCCTCAGCCAGGTCAGCCCTCTCCTCATCCTGCTCTAGCAAAGCTCCACCATCGCATTCAGCCTGCAGACCCAGGGGACCCTTGTCAGGGCTTTTTTTTTTTTTAAACACTTCTGTACCAAGTAACACTTTGTACTTTTTGAAATGCTCTCCCCTTGATCAGTGATACTACTCCTCGGTTTTTCCTTGTGTCTCTTACCTTTGCCTTCCAGGCCTCTTTTTGTGTCTTTTTTCTTCCTCCCTTTTTGTAGTCCACCTGAATGTCAGTTTTGCTCTCATGGCTTTAAAACCAGTTGTATGCTGCAGCAACAGAGACTTTTTTCTTGAGCTCCAAACCCATTTCTCCAAGTGCCTATTAGAAATTTTTATAGAGAAAACTACAAGTTAAAATTTTAATTACATTTTCATCCAAACCTTCTTTCTCGTGTATTTCCTAAGTAAATTACATTAACATCTCTTGCATTTCTCTCCTCCTCCTTCATCGTCTCTCTCTGGGTTTGTTTTGTAGATTAGCTAGTCTCTTTGCCTCAGTAATTTATTTTTAAAGCTTTCTGCCAGGTTTTCTAAAGTAAAAATTGGATCGTGTTATTCACTTGCAGGGAGTGGCTTCCCATTACACACAGAATGGAGTTCACAACTTCAGTGTCTAAAAAGTTGTACGCTATCACGTGTTCTGCCTTGCTCTCCCCAGACTAATTTATGGTGTTCTATTTGTTTCCTTCTCTTGTAAACTGACTTTTTGTCTGTTTTGTCCACTGTGGATTGGGAATGTCTTTTTTTATCGTTGCATCCTGAAGGCCTGGTGTTTTAAGTATTTGTTGAATGAAATTGAATTCATACCCATTGAGTTACTTATGGAATTCCCAGATTTTTGTAAAAATTATGACAGCATGTTTTATTTTATTGTGTTTACCATGTAAATCACATTTATTTGTTTCTTCTCGTTTGCCAACAGGCAAGTTTCATTTTCTAATCTCTTGTCTAATTAGGGGAGCCACAGACATTTACATTAAAATTCAAGAGAGCTGAAGACTATCCCATTGACCTCTACTACCTTATGGACCTGTCTTACTCAATGAAAGACGATTTGGAGAATGTAAAAAGTCTTGGAACAGATCTGATGAATGAAATGAGGAGGATTACGTCCGACTTCAGAATTGGTAGGAATGTTGGAAACATTGATCATTTTCATTATAAAGTCTTGGCAATTCTCAAATGTTGTTTTATGTTTTCTTCCTTTGTTACTCTCTACATACTTGTGAGATAAACAGGCCAGTTTTTTAGCCTTTTCTGAGTGGAAATTGATATTCCAGTCACACGTTTAATAATCTTTTCTGCCACCTTGTTCCTCTGTCACTGGATGCTACTGTTTAACACAGATTGTACCTCATAATGACTTGCATGCTTGTTTTCACACTAACTTGATCATTTATCTTACGACTTATTTTATTTTATTTTTATTTTTATTTTAAGAGTTTCGCTCTTGTTGCCCAGGCTGGAGTGCAATGGTGTGATCTCGGTCACTGCAATCTCCGCCTCCTGGGTTCAAGTGATTCTCCTGCTGCAGCCTCCGGAGTAGCTGGGATTATAGGCGTCTGCCACCACGCCCAGCTAATTTTTTGTAACTTAGTAGAGATGGGGTTTCACCATGTTGGCCAGGCTGGTCTCGAACTCCTGACCTCAGGTAATCCACCTGCCTTGGCCTCCCAGAGTTTTGGGATTACAGGCGAGAGCCCCCACGCCTGGCTCTTAGGACTTATTTTATAAACATGTATTGAGTACCCAGATTTTATCTAATTACTAGTTAGTATGGCTGTACCTGCCTGTACAGCCTGATCTCACCTTAGACCTGGATTTTTCATATGGTGATGATCTGTTTTCCAAACCTTATTTTTCCCATTTCATGTGTCCCCAGCTTAACCTCTTTTTTGCCTGCTTCTCTCCACTCCTGTTGCTGCAGAGGTTTAGCAACAGAAAATTAGAAAGATTTAACAATCATGAGGCCTAAAAGCTACCTTTCAAAAATTAGCCCTATTTTAGTGGAAACTTTAAAAAAGAGCACTTGCTCAAAATGTTCTTTTATTCAGTAAGCATAATTCAAGGACCATGGCATTAGGGAACTCCTACCAAATTAGTCTTTTTTAAAATGGCCAGAATTCTAGAATAGTTATTCTTTTGTTCAGCATGCCATTATTGAGAGCTGGTATGCCAAGAAAATGAATGTGAGTTATTTTTAAAGTAGGGAGGCAAAATAAAAAGATTGACTTAGGTCTTAGTCCATTTGCGCTGCTTTAAGAAAATACTATAAACTGGGTGGCTTATGAACAACAGAAATTTATTTCTCACAGCTCTGGAGGTGAGAAGTCCAAGATCAAGGCAGATTGAGCATCTGGTGAGGGCCCTCTTCTGGGTTCATAGATGATACCTTCTTGCCATGTACTCACATAGCAGCAGGGGACACAGCAGCTCTCTGGGGCTTCTTTGATGAGGTCACTGTAGGAGTCTATTCTTACGTTGCTATAAAGAAATATCTGAGACTGGGTAATTTATAAAGAAAAGAGATTTAATTGGTTTACAGTCCTGCAGGCTCTACAGGAAGCATGGCGCTAGCATCAGCAAGGCCTCTGGGAGGCCTCAGGAAGCTTCCAATCATGGCAGAAGGCAAAGTGGGGAGCAGGCTTCTCACATGGTGGGAGCAGGAACAAGAGGTGGGGGGAGGTGCCACACAATTTTAAATACCAGATTTCATGAGAACTCCCTCACTATGTCACTCACTCACTATGTCTGACCATGGCTTGGTCAGAATAGCACCAAGCCATGAGGGATTGATCTGCCCCCTTGAGCCAAATACCTCCCACCAGGCCGCACCTTCAACATTGGGGATCACGTTTCAACATGAGACTTGGGTGGGGACAAATACCCAGACTCTGTCAGTCACTAATCCCATTCATGAGGGCTCTGCCTGAATGGACATTCAGTCCGTAGTAACCAATATGTGGTAACATAGATGAATTTTTTAAAGAATGCAAATCTCTGTCTTTCCATCTATCCTTCCATTCATTCATTTATATACCATTTTTTTCTTTACAGGATTTGGTTCATTTGTGGAAAAGACTGTGATGCCTTACATTAGCACAACACCAGCTAAGCTCAGGAACCCTTGCACAAGTGAACAGAACTGTACCAGCCCATTTAGCTACAAAAATGTGCTCAGTCTTACTAATAAAGGAGAAGTATTTAATGAACTTGTTGGAAAACAGCGCATATCTGGAAATTTGGATTCTCCAGAAGGTGGTTTTGATGCCATCATGCAAGTTGCAGTTTGTGGAGTAAGCACATTCATTTCCTATAAGGGGATATTGTTTCTATTATGTGTGTGAATTTTAAGTGTGATTTTACTATGTTAATAGAAAAATTGATCTTAATTTTCATACATTTGATTATCTTAGAGAAGTAATTTAAGTAAATCCTTAAATTGCCTGTATGCAGGTGCCTTTATAAAAGCATATTTAATCTTTATGCAAACCAGGCAGTTAGTTTATTCATGCACGCTTTTAAAAGCCAGAATGCTAACCATTTGAAACAGTGGGGCAACCTCCCTGTACTGTAGCTGGTGGTCTGGATTTTAGAAAAGCCCTTGTGTCTTAACTTTCTGGTTTTGTACCAGAGATAGAATTGATGTTATTATCTGAGGCATCACCAGGAACCTTGAAATTGCTCAAAGGGAGGGTGTCTTGTATCATTTTCCTTTGGTCAGTTTTCTTCTCACTGTCTTTGAAAGACACATCTTTCACATCTTTTGAATTAGTAATTCAAAAAGAAATAACTTTTTAAGCTCTAGTTTTTAAGCTATATGAATAGATGTATTTTGAGAAGTGGTAGAGTATTTGTAATTTTAACTGTAAGATTTTTAGTAGCAAGCCCATCCCTATTGGATCAGTAATTGGCATTTTATGATCCATGTAGCAGCAGCATATTTTGAGATGACACTTTAATGGTGTGGCTGAGGCTGAAACTAGAAAACATTGTGAGGTCAAGTTTGTCCTGTGTACCTACTCTTGTCTCATTTTTGTTCCATCCAGTGCCCCCATTCTCTAGATGACCTTCTTTGATTTTAGAGGCCTCTTAATGGTTATTTTTCAGTCAATTTTTGCTAAGGTGCTAATTGATGCCCAAAATAATAAATGAAGGAATATGGATAGTAATACAAATTTTTCTATCACCACTGATGCTGGGCAATTTACTTAGTCTCTCCAGGGCTGTTTTCTTTTCTTTAAGAAGGGATGATAATAGTTATCTACCTCATAGGGCTCTTGTGAAGTTAAAATGCATCAATCTCTAAAAGTACCAGTGAGCATTCGGCAAATACCAATTCCTATATTGTGGTTACTTTCGAGTTTTCACTAGAGTGTTTGCAATTTAAGGTTAGTCCCTGCTATTGTAGCTGAAGCAGGTAGCATTCCAGGTAGTGCCTAGCCTTACACCTCTTTTCTTGCTAGCCAGTGACATATGAACCTGTTAGCATCTCCTTGTGGAGAGAGCATTCTCTGGGCTGCCTCTAACTAGGCCTTAACCTGTGGGATTAAACAAGCCATAGCACCCTTGGTTGTGGCTATTTTTCTGTGTTGGTCATGCTGATCCACTCCTCTAGATGCAAAATGATTCATCACTCCACTTTTGAAAGATTGCCAGTATTAATTAATGTGATTACCACCTTAAAGGATTTTACAGTCTTATAAAGATCTAAACAGACGTATTAAATAAATTAACTAAAGCAAGTAAATTCCTGTAGTCATAAGATTTTATAATTATAAATTACCATAGTGACAAAAAGATTTTACAGTTACTTTAGATTCTTATTGGAAAGGTCAAGAATAAAGTAAATGAGCAGATAAACAGTACTGATTGAGGAGTTAGAATGGGTGAAATTATCCTTAAACAAGATAATTATTTCTGTTATAAAAAAGGGAAGCCTCATATGGTGGGCTGATAAGGTGTATGGCATAGAATATAGAGCAGATGGGTGGATGGGGACAAGACAGCAGCAGTGGGGTAAAGTAAGAATAGGCTGAGACACTTTCATTTATTCAGCAAATGTTCATCGAGCGCTTACTGCTTGCCAAGCAGTGTGCTGGCTTGCTAGCTGCTGGAGATACGATGATAAGCAGAACCAAACCAAACCAAACAACAACAACAACAACAACAAAAAAAACAGTTTTTAAAAAGAACTGAGAGAGATGGATGGTCAGGCAAGATATAGTTGTACATGGGATGGAAGAGCTTCATTCACTGGGCTTTGTGCATTTCTCAGCAAGATAATTAGCATTGTATAAAGAGAAGACACAGAAAAAACAGAATTAGGTTAAAATACAATGGTGGCCTGTATGAAAATTAAAGGATTTTTGTTGAATTACTGTGAATAGTGTTTTAAAATTGAAATCCTTTTCTTTTCAAGTCACTGATTGGCTGGAGGAATGTTACACGGCTGCTGGTGTTTTCCACAGATGCCGGGTTTCACTTTGCTGGAGATGGGAAACTTGGTGGCATTGTTTTACCAAATGATGGACAGTGTCACCTGGAAAATAATATGTACACAATGAGTCATTATTATGTAAGTGCTTAGTTCCTTACATAGCAAATGTGTTTATGTTGGATTTTAATGTTTAATACTAAGAGTTTGTGGGTGACTGGCTTGGGGTTTCTCAGGGTTTGAGGTTTTGCTATTTTGGTAAGTAGGGGTCCTGATTGAAAGTGCAGGAAAGCTAGTGTTGCTGTTTGTGAAGATGTGGCTTTGTATTTGCTTCCTTCTGCTCAGACAAGGGCCTCACTGGGGTGGGAAAGGGATGCCCAGATGCCACTTTCACTCTTTGCCTCAACTCCCTGCCCACAGCATTTGGTAGCACAGTCAGTACTATTTCTAAATAAATAATTTATCTAGTCTCATACTCTTTGTCTTATATGATTTTTAAAAGCGGTCACTCTGCCTTTATTGAAAAGAAATATTGGCAAAAGCATTCAGGTTCTAGAAGAAATCCAAATGGGAAATCTTGGTCTTTTTCTTAAGTTGTAGATAGTAGAATATTTGATTACTGACTATTCTTTAATTTCATTGTCCCTATATTTAATATACATAGATAATCTTACTATTTAAAACCTTTTGAATATGGAATTTTTTGTTCATACATGAAAGAGAAGAGGATTAGCAATTCATGTATACACACTACTCACTTCAGCACTTTATATTTGATACTATTATTTGAAAGCAGTCTTGTAATCTACTTATATGTATGCAAAAGATTTACTCTAACTATATATAAATTACATATGTAATCTAGTTATCTAAAGCAGTCTTGTAATCGAGTTATGTATAATCTTGCATGTATGACTAGATTGAAAAATTAGAATAGATTATAAGGGTGTATTTACATACTAAAATATATTACTTGATTTCTTAGGATTATCCTTCTATTGCTCACCTTGTCCAGAAACTGAGTGAAAATAATATTCAGACAATTTTTGCAGTTACTGAAGAATTTCAGCCCGTTTACAAGGTAAATGTGCGAGATAAAAAGAACAAAATTCTAAATATTTTTGGTTGAGTTGTTAGAGGCAAATCATGTCTGAATTGAAATGTGGGAAAATGCCACTAGATAGGCAAACCGAATTTTACAAAAGTTGTTTATATTAACTTTTAATTACATATTATAAAACTGGTTTCTAGGTTTGACTCCTAAAGTTAGTTAGGATGAGACATATGGGAACTGGCATTTAAAGATAAAAGTTGCTCAGTAGATGCTAATTGGTTGAATGAATAGTAGATGTATTTTACGTGTTTTATCTTTTAATTGCAGGAACTGAAAAACTTGATCCCTAAGTCAGCAGTAGGAACATTATCTGCAAATTCTAGTAATGTAATTCAGTTGATCATTGATGCATACAATGTGAGTACATCTTAAATAAGATCAGTTTTGGACAATACCCTGTTGAGAATACTTTGTTCAAAGAAAGTGAAACTTCCTTCATACACACTTTAGCGAGCCCAAAGTACTACAGAAATCTTAAATCTTAAAGGCATATACTGATAGAATAGATGACTTTTCTGATAGAGAAGTT